TTCTTTGACGCATGTTATACATACATAAATAAAAGTATTTACACACAGACGGACATGCTGATGTTCATGGTGCTCGTGATGCAGCCACAAGCTAGGATGGAAATGCACATAGGTACAGCCAAGAGTCTATGGAGCACAGTCTCCTCACATAGTCTTCGTCCCCAAAACAGGAATTCAGGCGCGGGTTCAGCGGAAGCTCGGCCAGATTGGCAAACATGTGCCACCAGGTATGAAGCCTGGATACACAAGCACAATGGAAGCTACCAAAAAATGTAGCCACAAGTGAATCAGAAAGCCACAAGTGAATCAGAAAGTCACAATCGTGCCGCAAAGTGTCTTCGGGCGAATCTTGTAGCGGCTGTTGCTTGCCGAAAAAGCATCATGGCTCAGCCACAGATATCCCAGAAGAAACCGCCGAGCCAGCTTTTTCGCCTTGTCCACTGCAGCTAATGGCATGACATACAGGTGCTCCTCCATCAGCAGGATCATTTTGGCCAAAGCTCTCATCGTCCTAGGATCGGGAATTAGGCAGGTCTTAAACTTGTGAATTCAGGGCACAAGAGCGGCTGAGTGTTTTATCTTGGCTTAATTGGCCCTCGAAAGCTAGAGTCAGGCATCATCTTCAGGACCCGAGCTTTGTCAGTGTCGGCCCAGCTTGACACTGCCACTGGAACGACTTCAGCCTTCGCTAGTAGAGTCAGTCGGGTTGCAAATATCTATGATGAGACTGTAGGGTTAAATTAAATTTCTAACCAAAACAAAATGTACGAAACCTGATGCTCCACTTCTTCAGATCCCAAGGGCAAGCCATAAGCAAACAAGCTTAATGTCAGCACCCTTGGCATTAAGTGTGGCATATTTCTCATCAGCATTCAATATGAAGTCGTCGCAAGCGAGTTCAGCACCATTAGCTTTCGCCCACAGACAACACAGGTCATGAGCCTTGATCAAGCCCCCCCGATCGGGGAAGATATCAAGCATCACCGATGCTACCAGGTCCGGGGCGAAGCCCCTGTAGCACACATGAAGCGTATCATAGTGGATGAGCTTGTTGTGAAAGCCGGTGATGTTGCAGATCTCGGGTAAGGAACCCCCATGGGCTTTCAGCAGTTCCTGCAAGAAGTCCTCGGCTGGGCTTGCTAGCTACATGGATCAAAGGATTTCTTTAAAGGCCTTGAACCCTAAACTGTAAACCTAAGTTATAAGCACCCCATCCGAGAAATTCCGAATGTCGATACATACAAACTTGTACTTCATAAGGCTAGACTCATCTTTGCTTTCCAATCCACAAAGCTCCCAGGGCGAATCTCCAAAGCAGTTCATGTAATGTCCAGACCCAGGGGATAGAAAGGTTTGTCCATCTACTGGATCGACAGTGGAGGCAAACCTCGGATGGAGCTCAGAATTGGGGCAGCTAGACTGACGACTGGCTCAGCTGATACGTCTTGCCATGTCACTGGCATTGCATACACATCCTGCAGACAAGCTCATGGCAGAAGGCAGAGTCACACATGAAGATCAAGTTTTCGAAAACATGCGCACAACTAGTATGGGCTCCTGTTGCCATTGGCCTCGCCGTTGCCCTTCCAATGTCGCGGACTTAGCAAGCTGACATTGGGTTGTCTTAATGGAAGAAACTCAAGCAAGCTGATGTAGGGAGCTGGCAATTGCAGCATTTGCTGAAACCATTTTTGATCGCCCGCCAGACCAAAGAAGCAAAGCCTTCGGCCGCAAACTCCACCATAATCAAATGTCCTGGGAAACATCTGTAGATGCTAGGTGAAGACTCATGCATGCAACATACAGGAGTCTATTGAAGCCTGGGGGCAATTTCTCCAAGTCTGCATTGATGTGTCTAAACAGCACATCCAAAGTACACTCATGGTGGACACCGATCCGATTCTTTTGCATCGCCCTCGTGAGGACAGTTTGTCCTGTTAAGCATGCGATGCAAAGACGTGTCTTCAGTGTGTCCTCAGTTGTTTACAAATTGGCATTAACACACTGAAGAGCAGCTAAGCCATGTCACATCCACTAGTAGTTAAGTTGCAGACAAGATTCACCAGAATGGGAGAATGGAAACGACATATTGATAACCAACACATTCTTGTACTTCTGCCCAGGGCCCTCATCTCCATGGAATCGCGCTGGCAGATCAGAAGGCCCTGCGCACAGAAACGAATAAGCTATGGTTTAGGAGATTAGGGTTTGGGTGGATTTGTGTGGTTTTGGGTTTCACAAAAAATCGATACCATATGGCTTAGGATTTTAGGGTTTTGGGGGTTTGGGGTTTCAAGAATAAGCCTCCTGTGTAGCCAATGCCAGCACCTTGCAGAGTAGAGCTCAGCCTGAGCTGGTTGGTTGCACTAGCTTGCCGCCCCTGGAAACCTATTTAACCTATTTCTAAGATTGCAAATTCAAGTAACAGTTGGCGCTCTTCCTGTGTAGAGTTGCCAAAGCAGATGGCTTTCAAGATCCAGGGCCGCTTCTGCAACCATGACATATAAGAGCTTGGAAGCACGATGCCTTGGATTGATCCCGAGTCTGAGATCAGTAGGGGCTCCTGGTTTCAGGGTTTAAATAAACACATTCTGGAGCTCGGCGAAGATTCTGCATGGCTTCACTTCCACTGTCTTCTTCCTTTTTGAAGTCACCAAAGGTAGCATGACGGTTGACACCTTCGGAATAGATCTCGAGAAGAATTGGTGAAAGCGTTTCTCTGTCTTGCGGCCACCAAGTGTCCTCGTCACCCAGCTCATCTGGTTTCCACTTTCTTCTTCAGCAGCATTGCAGAGTTCAGCAATATAATTGCAATCAGCATTCTTCTTTTTTAAGGATCCAACAGCCGTGCGGGCTAAAGATGCATCAGCCAGACTCTGCAACCGGTAAGGAAGCCCAAACTGCCCAGGCACATGTAGATCTTGCGGTTCTCCAGCAGCACTAGATTTCGTAGCCAGTTTGGCAGCCAGTCGTTGTTTCAATTGCCGAAGCTTCGGCGAATCTCGCTTCCTGCGATAGGGCTGGTTATGACGGCACCCTGAAAAGACACAGAGGCAACACGTACTCTTGAAACCAGGTTTTCGCTCCTCGGCTGATTCTTCGCCTTGGCTTCCGGACGAAGGCCTGCGTGGGAGCATTCACAGTAAGCTAAGCAACGAGCAAAAGAGAGGGAAAACAAACAGAAATGCAGAAATGCAAGGGACAGTGAGCGAAGGAGGCAGCGTGAGCAACACAAAAGACCTGAGAGGAATTATATGGGTGATCCTTAATACTTGTTTTTTTCTGCATCCAACAGGAGTCGGGTTGAGGGAGTTGCATCGCGCACCTGGTGGGCAACGACAGGCTTGCAGCTATTGTGTAATTACATGCCATCAATACTGCCAATCACTACAGCCTGATCGTGCCTCTACCCAGAGCTAGAGCGACTCATTGAAAAGCAGACAAGCTGAGTCAGCTGAGCTGGCAAATTTCAAAAGGCTAACCTAGTATGCCTGATACAGCCTTCTATATGACATCTCCGCCAGCAGCTAATGCCTGGACCCAGCAAGCCAGCATAGCAAAAAACGAAAGGCCCTGTACCAACACGAGTGCCCTGCAGAGTATTGCATATGTAGTTTTCAATATACAAGATCACTGGAGTCGTAGATAGTCTAAAGCTTCTAACAACAGCTAGCTGTTAAAGATGGCAATGCTCGTGATACTCACGGACTGGCCATGCAACAAAAACATCGGTTCCTGAAAACCCTTGTAGCTGAATAAACCCTTGCGGTTCCTGAAAACCCTTGTAGCTGAATAAACCCTTGCTTGTCCCCAGCTCTTGCAGCCAATCCCAGAAAAGTGCAAATTGCACTGGTGGGCGCTTGCTGCCACAGACATGTATCTGCTTACTACATCATAGCACCTCGAGAACAGCAAGTGCCGCTTACCCAGCTGCCACGATCAGCCACTAGCCTATGGAACCATAGAAACCTGGAAAGCACAGCTAGCATACACTTTAGCCAGCACATGGCCACTACTTAAAGGTACATGATGTACTTTGATCCCATAAGCTTTGGCTTTTCTCAGAATCAGATGCATCAGCTGCGCTTGTCCTTAAGGGCGTGCACCCTCGCCACACCCACTGCGAAGTCCTGCCAATAGTTGGATAAAACAGGATTTGTGGTTTCATTAGTGTACTATATATGCTTCACTCACCATAGTCCCTGACTCAGGCTTAGGATTAGGGATACGGGTTAAGGTTTAAGGGATAATGGTTGAGGATTCTTATGCTCGTCGCGGAATTCCCGTAGCATCGTTCAAGCCCAAGCTTAGGCACACAGTTCCCAGCAACACATGTATCCTGTTGTGTCGTGTGTCGATCTGTCCTCCTTGGAGACAAACAGCAGATAAGCCTTTGCCACGTCCTGTGACAGTTTGGTGTTTAGGGTTAGGGGTTTAAAGGGAGAGGGAGAGGGACAGAGAGCGAGAGAGAGAGAGAGAGAGAGAGAGATAGTGAGCAAGGCAAAGGGTTTGAAGCTTGCATGGCCTTGACTTTTTCCTGCCATTCGGCTTCATCGACTGTATCATCCAGCATCTTCAGATCCTGCAACAGTTTTGTGGAGAACTTCATTATAACGATCCAGATCAAGCACCTTGTACTTCGATTCCAGGGCATCCTTCACTGTCTTAAGCGAAGCCAACACCATCTCGGCTTCATCCAGGCCCTGCAGCTGGAGCTGGAGCCGAGCACAGGCACCAACCTCTCAGGGAGAAGTTCATCCAATATCGTACGATTATTACTAGGGCTTTAAAGTTCCAGCCATCCCACATGACAAAACACCTTACACTTATCATAATCATTTCCCTACATAAAGTCCCAATACCCTAATTCAAATTAAAATCGTTTTCGTACCCCAAAAGATTGGCACCTTACCCAGGATCTCCTTCTCCATCGATTTTTTCGTATCCTGGCGGTTGAACCGTGGGAGGGCCTCACGTAGATCGGATGCCCGGCACTTTGCAAGCTCAAAAATCCCGGGCTTCATGGCCGGTGGCCCCTTTGCTTTTGCTTTCGCCTTGGCCCCACCCTTCGCAGCTGCCGCCTTCCCAAGAGCCTTCGGTTCCGGAGTGGGGCCTGCAGGGCTGTCGGGTTTAAGGTTTGGGGCTTTGGGGTTTAAGAGCAGTATGATAGCCAGCCTCCAGCAGCATTCTCCGGAGCCGCTTTTGCCGAAGGCTCCGGAGCGGGCAGCGATGAAGACCTGGATCAGTGGCCGCCCCAAGTGTAATCAGGATTTGGGGTACAAGGTTTCACATTCGGCATTTCGGTTTAAGGGTTTAGGGTGGTGGTTAAGAGTTCGGCATTTGGTTTAAGGGTTCTAGTATTCATTAGGTTGCAGCGGAATGCAACCTGATACGATCATCATATTGTGGATAGTATGCAATCACCAAGGATGCAAGTTTCAGGGCTTAAGGTTTATATAGGGGTTTAGGGGTTTGCAGGGAGTTGGGTTATGGCGTGTTTACATTTTTATTCTTGGGGGTACAAGTTGCTTAGAGTGGCAAAGATCGAAACACATTATTTCTCGAATATCTGCTTTGCAGCTAGGGTGCATCTCTTGAAAGAGCTGTCTCGCAAGTGGTCGTTGATCCTGAGCCAGCGAGCGGACATTCGCCTCGATCTCTCGGCGCTTCTCAAAAAGCTCCGTCTCAGACATCTCAGTAAAGATGTTGAAGAGTTTGTGCCCAGATCCCACGGGGAAGTTCGGATCATCTCTGAAACCTTAGGATGGAATTAAATTCTGCTGTAGTCTCAACATCGAATAGGAGCTTTCAGACAGCAATACACTGAGATACCTGCGGCCTTCCTGCACAGCAAAGTGGATCGCCATCTTCGCTTTGTCTTGATTCGGGGCATAGTGGGCATAAACCTGCTCTTCAGTCAATGCCTCCTTCTTCTTCTTCTCTTGCCTTAGTTCTATAGAATCACCGAATGACTTAGGGACCCTGAATTGGCAAACTGCATGAACAATCGAGGCAACTTAGAAATAGGCTCCATCATGATGTCTTTCAGGATGAAGCTGACGGTGGTCTTGGTAACATCGCATCCGTTCTGGAAGAACAGCTGCACAATGTTCTTGCGGCTTTCACCACCATTTCGCCACTGCTCGAGAATCTCCAAGGTGCATTTGTGTGGATTTGTCGTTAGACGGCGCACAGTCTGCAATGCCGCCGCTGCCGCCTTTTTCTTGTCCTGAGATACGAAACAGGCTTGTAAATAGGGTTTATGGGTTATTAAAACGAAAAAACATATTACAAAAATCGATGTATATGCATGCGTAGCTGCTTCGTCACCTTTCTCTCCAGCTTCACTGCTCCCTTGGCTGCTTGCTTCTAGAGGGCTGCTCCTGTTGAGCTGGGCCGGTGGGGTGACAGCGACTGCTGGAAGGGACTTGGGCAGTGGTGGCGTGCTCGAAGGGCCAGGGCTGCTTGCCGGTGCTGGTGTTTTGGGCGGCGGGCTGAAGCTTGCAGGCACTTTGGGCTCCGGAGTTTTCACCGCCCCATCTGGATCACTCTCCGAAAGTCTTGCCCTCAACGCCTCGGTTCTAGCGCGCACCTGCTGCAGCTGGGCTCTTTTAACTTCCTTCTTCAAGAAGTCCTCCTCCTCCTTCGCCTTCTTCAGCTCTAGCGACAAAGGGCTTAAGTCGCGACCAACGGACGACTTCTGAGGGCTTTCAGTGAATGCCATCTTGAAGGCGGTGAACGACGACGGCATGCTTCCTGTGGCCTGAAGGTCCGTAATCCGCTGCCGCAGACGACGGATCTCCTCACTCTCCTCTGGCACTGCTTCTCGCTTCTGGCTCTCCTGCCGCTTCTCTGCGTCCTGCCTTTTCGCTTCTGCTTCCTGCTCCTGCCGCTGCTTCTCTGCTGCCTGCCTTTTCGCTACTGCTTCTGCTTCCTGCTCCTGCTGCTGCTTCTCTGCTGCCAGCCTTTTCGCTACTGCTTCTGCTTCCTGCTCCTGCCGTTGCTTCTCTGCTGCCTGCCTTTTCACTTCTGCTTCCTGCTCCTGTCTTTGCTTCTCTGCTGCCAGCCTTTGCACTTCTGCTTCCAGCTCCTGCCGTTGCTTCTCTGCTGCCCGCCTTTTCACTTCTGCTTCCTGCTCCTGTCGTTGCTTCTCTGCTGCCTGCTTTGCCGCTTCTGCTTCCTGCTCCTGCTTTTCTTTGCCGCTTCTGCTTCCTGATCCTGCCTTTTCTTTGCCGCTTCTGCTTCCTGCTCCTGTCTTTTCTTTTGACCTTCTTCGAAAAGCTTTCGCTCAAGCTCTGCTTGGAGTTCCTTGATCACGCGTTCATCTTCCTCTTGCTTCGCTTTCTTTGCTGCTGCTTCATCTTCTGCTCGTTTCTTAGCATCCATAGCGACACGTACCATACTTTCCTCGTATTCCCTCTGAATTCGCTCATTTTCACTCTCAAGCTTTTGCCCTTCAGCACTCTCAGGTGCTGCAGCCTGCTTCTCACGGGCTTCCTGACAAGGCGCGCTAATTGGTTTCAAATGCCAACTTTGAGGGTTTAGAGTCTGTCTGGGGTTGCAGGATCAGGATACAAGACTTGCTCTTCAAGGAAGGTTTGCACTTCTTATATATGTGACGATCGATTAATCAATCCCCTCTAAGGCAATACTAGGCTTCAGGGTATTTGCTGCGAAAGGGTCAATTAAAAGTGTCTAGTAGCTTAGTGGTCCCAACCATTAAAAAAAGCAACAGACTGAAGTGCCGCCTCTTCCTCGATAAGCCTTTCGAGCTCCTTGTTCAAGAAGTCGTCCATTGCATCATCCCGCTGTGTGTTTCCTTGCATTGCAGCTGGCACTCCATCCCAAGGTAGCGTAGCTTCTGAATCCTGAGATAGGTTAACTTAATCAGTTTCATCAGAATACAGCGTGCAAATGCAGCATAGTCAGCAGCTGTATTCCCGACGAGAGAGCTACAATCCATTCAGACAAGTCACAGCTACACTCGTAGCATATGCAGTTCTCGTTCCTTCTGCCGTTGCAGCCTGCCAGTAGGACTTGATAAATGGGGCCCCAACAAAAGTCTTGTTGCAGCTTAGAAACTGTTTCCTCAATCTCTTGCTTAGCAGCACGAAGATCTGCCTGCAACAGCTGGCGGAACGATCCTAGATCCATACCTTGGCAGAACCTGGCCTGGGCTTCGTAAGACTTGTCCATGAAGGAGAGCCCACGAAGCAGTGTATCATTCGACCTTAGGAATGAAGAATACACTTATAGAATAAAGGTTTGCTTCAGGTCGTCATGCCAAGGCAAGAACACTTGTGAATCAGCCATTGGCAAGCCTAAACTACCACGTACTGGCCAGCCAGGTAAGGTGCCCAAAGTCAGTTTCAGCAACGAACTGTCGATCATAAGCGATGTACGATTTTGTACGCTTTTGTATGCGTACGGTTCTTTCATATATGACTACGATGTACGAATACGTACGGTTTTGTACGCTTGTGTCTGTTTGGATGGAAAAGCTATATGTCGATATCGTACAGTGCCTGCCTGTTGCAACACGTCAGGGCCACTGGCATCGAATTGGATCCGCTGAAGCAAATGGCCAGAGGCAAGCCACAGGCATGGGTTCTTCAGGGAAAGCAGGCTTCACTTGATGCTGCGATCGCATACGAAACACCAATAGCTAGTGAAAAAGCCGAACTTATGCATGCGGAACCTAGGACAGAGAACCCAAGCCCGTACACAACCGTACAAATTTGTACACCCACACCAAGCCCGTACAAAAGCGTACACAACCGTACATCCTAGACTAAAGTACAAACCCCAAGCCCGTACACAAGCGTACAAAACCGTACATCCTAGACCAAAATAGAAAACCAAAGCCCGTACACAAGCGTACAAAACCGTACATCCTGCACTAATTAAAAAACCCGAGCCCGTACAAAAGCGTACAAAACCATACATCCTAGACTGAAACCAAACCCCAAGCCCGTACACAAGCATACAAAACCGTACATCCTAGACTAAATATATAAGAGACCCCTAGCCCGTACACCTTATATAGTACGTACAAAACTCTACATCCTATTGGCTAAGAGAAGACCCAAGCTGGCACATGATAAGCATACACCGGCCGGTACATCCTCAAGGAGAACTACAGCATTTATGCCTGTATATATATATATATATACTGCAGGTTGTGGGTGTATGCTAATCCGATACGTAAGCCCTGTATACCGGGATGCTATACTATAGGCACTTAGAGTCTTTTAGGGCTCAGGGTTTAGGCTCTGGGGTTCTGGTGTCGGATCAACAAAGCTGAGAGAGCTCTCGCAGCACTGGGCCAGTGATTGCTGCCGAGGTGTTGAGATTTCGCTTATCGGGGGCTCTGGGGTTCGACAAACCTATCGAATAAGCTTTGCTGAGTACTGCTAATTTTCTTAATTCGGGGCGGTGTGCACTTTAAGACTACATATCAAGTGAGGTCGGGCCTGGAAAGGTGTGTGTATATATATCTATACATATATATGTATATACGGCCTGTAATATTGGGATCGAGTAAATAATTTGCCGCTGGGTGCTCCTAAATTAGGCCCATGGCCCAAGCACATATTTAGTCAGAAGTTGTGTCCCGAAGTACAGACCTGATCTGGAGTATCTGCTTAGCTGGCCCCGAAGCCACAAACTCCGGCTGTTCAAAAACCTCCAGGCTATTGCATCGTTTCTCGACCTACGTTGTAGCAGCTAGCTCAGCTTATCGATCTGTGACTATCTAGCATAGAGGCCTAGGGGTTGGATGCCAGGGATTTGATGTCTAGCTACTTGAATTTATATTTGAAGCAGGGATTGGACTTGGGCAGGGATGTACAAGGGTTCTATCTCGTCCAGACATTTATAGGGTCTGGGCTTCAAGACTCAGGACCACGATCTACACGACTCAGGGGTCATAGGGACGCAGACTGATTGTTGGGGTCAGCAATAGCCAACTGCTCACCTAAGCCCCTAAACCCTAAGTGAGGGCGATCGCTTTCCACTTGGAAGTGATGCGACTGTTTTGCCAGGTCTGCTTTACGATCCTCGATATCTTCGGAGCAGGCATTGCCAATCTAGGGTCCGAAGGGCTTGCAGCTTCGGGCCAGGCTGAAATAGGCTTCCTGTAGATATATTTAATCGTACATAAATCAGGAATGGTTTATGATTCGATACAATATATGCATGGGTGTTGGGCTTCTGTACATTTAAGACCTATGTGGATTGAAGATGACATTAAGCTTTGCTGAATACTGCTAATTTTCTTAATTCGGGGCGGTGTGCACTTTAAGACTACATATCAAGTGAGGTCGGGCCTGGAAAGGTGTGTGTATATATATCTATACATATATATGTATATACGGCCTGTAATATTGGGATCGAGTAAATAATTTGCCGCTGGGTGCTCCTAAATTAGGCCCATGGCCCAAGCACCTATTTAGTCAGAAGTTGTGTCCCGAAGTACTGATCTGGAGTATCTGCTTAGCTGGCCCCGAAGCCACAAACTCCGGCTGTTCCAAAACCTCCAGGCTATTGCATCGTTTCTCGACCTACGTTGTAGCAGCTAGCTCAGCTTATCGATCTGTGACTATCTAGCATATAGGCCTAGGGGTTGGATGCCAGGGATTTGATGTCTAGCTACTTGAATTTATATTTGAAGCAGGGATTGGACTTGGGCAGGGATGTACAAGGGTTTTGTCTCGTATGGGTACGGACCTACTGCGGGTATATATAGGGGTCGAGGCCGACACAGAGCTTCCCTAGGCCGTCGTCTCGTAGCCAGCTTTTCGCACTCCCAGGTCCACCAGCAGAGTCCTTGCGCATGCAAGTTTGCGTGACATGAAGGTGTGATTTTGCTCGACTCACTGGTCCTCCATCCCTTTCCTGGTGGAAGCAAATTCCGGGATTTCCCCAGATATACCAGAACATCCCACAAATCAGCCTAAGCTTTCACTGCACCATACATGTGATGTTGGCATTAACTGCAAGATATGTTGCACCAAGCAGCATCGTCCCAGGTATCACCGAGGTCTACACTTCCATGCTCGCCATAGAACAGCTCAAACCTCAGTCTGTACATGTCTAGCAGCTCCTATGTATAAAAACTGTATATACACATGTATATATGCTTTACACGAGCGATCTTACATCATGTCATGGGGCCCTGTAGTTGCATCATCAGGACTGGTTCCCCAGCTTGTCATAGGAGGGGACGTCATATTCGGGAACTCTGCCACGAGCTCTGCAATTTGGTCACCCAGCTCGGGAGGATAGTGCCTAGCCAGTCTCAATACCACCGTTTGAAAATCAACAGCCTCTGCCACTGGTAAGTTAACTACATCTGCCGATCGAGGCTCTGCGATGTCCGGAGATACGGAGTTCCCGTCACCTTGCCGTCTGCATCTCGGACATGAGTGGGCCCCATATTCAGTTCACCACGGCGATCCATCATTTCTTCTCGGCGATGTGGGGTCAGTTTACGGTAGAGGCCTCCGACCCAACACCTCAGATTCGACAAGCCCTAGGGGTGAGTATAGCTATCTGTTCTATATTATGAAATAAGACCAAAGAACCGCCCAACCGAAGAAGCCAGTTGTCTGTTTGCCTTATATTACAATGCAGGTGTATCAGCTAGAAAGCGACTTCACTATTCTGGCGATAGAACCGACGGTGTATATGTGTATGTATACTTAAGTACATAAAATACAGATCCATCTATCTATATTATTCCTAGCTGAATGTATCCTCAACTTGAGGCCCTGAGAAGATCTGGCAAGTAGCTGATAATTTGCATATGAATAGACGTCTCGGAATTACCACTCATGATATCTTTTGTAGTTTTAGTTTACTGCAGTCTAGTGGCTTGTTGGAGTAGAAAGATGTCAGCTTTGCAGTCCAGTGCTTCCAGGCTCCAAGATAAGTGTTGATCGAACATTGGCCACGCAGCCGGACTATCTGAACCCACCTGGGGTGTGAGCTCATCATACTCGAAGCTGGCTGCTCCAAGATGTAGTTGCCGCCCATCCACAGCCCCAACATCAGACACATCATTGTCCTGTTAGCTTACAAGGGCGCAGATCCAGGGAACCCAAAATTCAGCACATGCCCGAGGTCCTTGAAACCATTTTGTTGGCCTGGGTGATGTTGATGTTGCTGACATCTCCAAGGGGGCACGTCAAACCTGCAGAGATGGAGGGTTTCTCAGTCGAGCTAGATGCACTAGTGATATATGCAGCAATTAGGCTCCCCACTCCGTTTATTGATTGCTCGATTGATCCATACCCAGCTGCTGCACACAGGCGAAGCCATGATGAACCTTCAGGCAAGGGCCCCGGAACATGATAGTATTGTAAAATTCAGCACTTCAGTGGCCTGGCACCTTTCGGATCCAAGCACAGGATCGAATGGATCATGAGCCTAGGGTTGCAGGATATTGATTGAACAGTTGGTCTTGGTGCAAGCCGTCTGTTAGAGCCGAGTCACGCAAAGCCTGCTGCATGAAATATGTTCATAGATGGATTCAATTCCAGGTCATGTGAGGCCACACGATACCCGCGGCTTGTGAGGCCAGCCTCGATCGGTGTATTTCGGAACTTGTTGGATGGAGCTGGGGGTCTAGTAGTGGCTCTGCTTAAGGCTCTGGCAGTCACAGCACCAGCGCCCGAAAAGAGATCGACACAATCGTATCGTGCCGAAACTGGTACTTCGGAGTTCCAAAGCCTAAGTAGGAGAGCTGCAGATCCAGTGGGAGCCAGCAAAATAAAATGATTTCTGGACAAGCAGCAGTAGGAGGCAAACTAGGATGAGCATCTTCGGAACACTCGCTTGCAGCATAGATTCCACCAGGGCTTTATAAGCCATTGCCGTAGGGCACCTTAGTCAAGACACCCAATGAGATACTGCCACATCAGGCTTCAATGGTCTAATATCAAACCAAAGCGCAGACTCAGGAACAGCAGCCAGGAGTAGCTCGCCATTGCCATACGGACACAGACCAAAACTCACACACCCCGCACATGCACACACACCCTGACTGTCACAGTCACAACATATTGTGAAGCATGAGCTGCACATCGAGTCGCATGGATCGGCCCTCAAATGCCCAGTTCGCCTAGGATGACTAGACCTTCGATCGGTAGAAGAAGCTACATACACAAAAGACACAGTGCTGATCCCTCAAGCTTCAATCGGCCTTTGACCCCCATCGATGTCACAGCACTGCATGCACTTCTGCAGGGAGGGGGGCGGACCTGTTGCATTGCACTCCTCGCCCTCGCAGGCAGCGTGCGATCGCTTCCGTGAAGAGCTCGACGAAGACTTCTCACCTGGCCATTGCAGTATTCACTACCCTGTGAACCAAAGACCATATTGCAAAAGTAGCTTAAGCCGGCACAACTTCGCACATCAGAAGAAACTTTTGGTCTCACACGCTTTGCCCAAGCTTCAGATTTCAGAGTCTGGTGTGATCTCATCCGACAGGCCTAAGATTGCACAACGACACACCAATCCCGATCTGTGCCTGGTCAGAAGCCAAAACCATTGCCGACGAGTCTCTGCTTCATAGAAGTGGAGTCTGTAGCGTTTGCGGAATCATCTGACCTGCACAGATCGACGGCGATGATCTAGATTTAGTAAGCTTTGAGCTAGCAGGTGATCGAAGATCGAAAAGTGATTGGCTCACCCAGAAACCCAGATATCCTACTACCCAGCCCTAAAACCCTACAATCTATAGTTAAGCCCCATAGAACAATAATCCCGAACAAGGTATAGTCTCATATCTGGGGATTCACATCCCAGGCCTGGGACATTACCTTAAACCCTGAACCCACTAAGCCTAAGGCATCCCGTGCTCTTGCAAGGCACGAAGCCCGTTATTTTCTATATCAAGCAAATATACACTAGGGGTTTAAGGCTCAAGGGTTCAAAGCGAAACCAAGGGCTCAATTCTAAGCCTCAGCAACATATCTGAAGACTAGGGACAATCCTGAAGCACAAGCCCTCAACCCTAAACCCTAACTTTTCAAGTTTGGCTCAAACACGGCTCAAGCAGGCCTTCTGCGTGGCATATGCAACTGCCAGCTCGTGTGCAGCCATATCGATCTCATCTTTTGCTGTCAGATCGAGGAAGCCTTCGGCACTTAAGTAGGACATGAAGGCCCTTTGCGCATTGCCGCCGGTAGCAAGGCCCCGGTTGCGAAGTTCCTCAGCCACATGCCTCAGCTATATGCAGCAAGAAAGTAGACACAGCATCTACCCCAGCCAAAACCCGCACACACACACACACACAATACCACATTAATTCGGAATAACATCTCAGTGCTGACAACAGGTGCATATCAAAGGCTTCGATAGCAGCTTCAAATCTCCAGGAGTGAGGGGGCCCATTCGGAACATAACGGCCAGCGAAACTCTTGCGATCCCCAGCCACATCCTTAGGAACCGCAGCTTCATCCCCACCATCCCTCGGATCCGCAGCTGCCTCAACCTCGGTCGGATCCACAGCAGCTGGAGTCGCTGCCTTTTTTGGCGACTGCGTCGGCTTTATCTTTTTTGGGGCCGCCGTCGGCTTCACCCTTGCCCTGGGTTTCGTCTTCGTCCTTGGCTTCATCACTTTCCTAGCCTTCTCCTTTGCCTTAGCTTCAGATCGAAGTACATAGGTCAGAATACCGCAGGACCCACATATACTCAAGCAATAAATCTGAAAAGGTTCTGCAGGCTCTGCAGATGGGTGGACGAAGGCCCGGTCTCCACACACCATTGCAAAAGTGGCCTCCTGTTCTTCCCCGTCAGAGTCGTCCACTTCGATGGGGTCCTGTTTATTTTCAGTATACATGAATATGTATATGTGCTTATGCATGTATTATATGTGCATATAGAAACGCATTTGGCTGGCATGCTAAGACCGAGACCTCGCCAAACAGCTTCCGGTGAGCCTCCTGATACTTCTTCTGAGCAGCCTTGGCAGCTCAGACAGAATTAATTGAGGAACAAGACACATGATAACACCTGCACATGAATCGAACCCAAACATGCCTGCCGTCTAGGTGCCAGCTGTGCTGCAGTAGGCACAGCTTTCGACCTTGATGGCACAGCTGTCGGCCTTGATGGCTCATCTGTCGGCCTTGATGGCTCATCTGTCGGCCTAAATGGCTCATCTGTCGACCTTGATGGCTCATCTGTCGACCTTGATGGCTCAGCTGTCGAGCTTGATGGCTCAGCTTTCGCGCTTGATGACGGCCTGAAGCAAGTGACAAAGCAACATCCAATGGGACACTTCACAACGACTTTAGTGCAAATTTGCAACCAAACCACTCACCCGCAGGAGAATCCACCATCTCCTCCAGGTCATCGATTTCCGACGAAGTAAATCGACCCAGATCACCAAATACATCCTCCATTTTTTGCTCAAGCCTCGAGCTTCAAACACATGTGTATGAATAAAGCTGAAAGCAAAGAATTTGCATGCAGCCCAAGAGGCTCTGCATGATCTTTTTTCGACTTGTTCCTACAAATGCAGGAACCCACAGATGCAGATATGGCTGTGCACACCCACAAGCAGCTGTCCTAGTCTTTGCTGGCCACTTCATCATCCTGAAATATGATGCACATCTATGAAACCTGATTGATCTTGTTCCAATTCGGCCAAGGCACTTGGATTTCAAGCGATCCATTCTTTCATGAAAAGAGCTCCTGGGCTGCCATATTGAAACAATAGATTGGAAACTGAACTCAAAATTTTCGCCTCGCCACTCAGTCTTTGCCAGCAGCCGGCGTATCCGAGCGAGGCTTCTTTTCAGGATGCTGGCGACCACTTTTCGCTCAAGCTCAGGCAAGTTGTGTAGCCCTGTTTCTGGATTCTTCGATGCCTGCTCCACCTCAGTTGCTGAGACTGTAACTCTGCGATCTAGAACTTTATATCTCATCCAGGTCACTGCCATCTCAAACACCCGCGGAGCTGGCACTTTGTCCACGACGACATAACCTAGCTGCATACGTGTCTCAGCCAACTGCACGGGAGCATAAGCAAAAGTGAACCAAAAGAAATCCCTGTAACCGAACTGCATGCCATGTGACTCAGCGAATCCATTATTGCATCTACCACAGCGAAAGCTTCGTGGATAATAAAATCTGTGCTGAGCTCGGAGTCTGGATGTGCAAAGCGCATAGCATTCGGCCAGAGCTTTGTGATGCCTTGGCCATAATCCCGCACGAGTCATTGAAGCAATAAAAAACTGCTACCTCTGAGGTTCAATCTGGTCAAAGGCCGCAAAACTGGCTTCAAAGCCAGCACCATCGTCATAACAACCTCACACAGCTCATCTTTCATATGGTCCAGACAATCCCTATAAGTACATCCCATTGCAAGCAAGCAGCTTCCTCCTCCGGCGATAAAGCCACTTCAGCTTCCTCCCGGCAGCACATTATTTCCAATGCCCAACAACATAAGATCTTGCCATTAGCTTCAGTCCTCTGTCTCCATAGCTCCAAACACAGCTCGAGCAGGCACTACTGGAATGCGTATATATATATATATATATATATATATATATATATGGATCCATGTAATGCATCAAATGCCCTAGCTTCTCTAAAAACCGTTGGCCCTGAGCTCAGGACTCTCCTCTACTTATATAATATGTGCCCTAGGGCAACGAGGAAGGGACTGCAGCTAGATCATGCATGTGGACACCTGTCTGATCGACTTGAGCATCTGGACTGCAATTAATTTGCAGTCGTCCAGTCTGCCAGCATGCCCACAGAAGTGCAAATTCACTGTAATCATGCAGGGCCACCTGGTGCTGGAATCACCAGCTTCAAAAGCCGGTTCATCCATCGTCGGATCCATGGTCAGCTCAAGAGCTGCAAAAATCGATGCTCATGCTTCGCTACTGCCGAATGACATGTCAGACCTGCCCAGATGCTTGCTGCCGGCATGCATGCGACTTCAGAGCCACTCCGTGGCAGCTCGGACGAGCGTGTTGCCACAATCACTCATCACCAGCAGCCGTGCTTCAAGTGGTATATGTTGTTTATGTGAGCGAGATGAGATTTTTATATGGGTACATGTGTGCATATAGTATATACACAGAGAGGAAGCGACCCCTATTGGGGCACTGCGACTCTGCGATCTATAGGAGTTAGGGTTCAGGTTTTTCTCCCAATAGTTGAGCCAAACTACAGCTTAGGGCTTAGGGTTTTTTCTCGAAAGCGATTTGAGCCATATCTATACAAATTCGCATGCATACTGCAAAAGCAAATTCGAAGCACACGACGTGCTTATTTATCCTGCCAAAGCTTTCTTTCACAGGGCGACAGACAGAGCATGAATCCATGCCAGCAAGATTTCGGTTTGAGCCAAATCGTGAACTCACATGCAATATATAGCTAGAAAGCTGTTCAAACTGTATCTGTCGATTGCAGCAAACCAGCAAGATATACCTACATCTTGCCAGAATGATGCATCTGGAGCCGAACCAAGCAGGACGAAACATCATGAGATGAACTTGCCTTGTGCTTGCTTTAAGTTTCCTTGCAAAAGGCGACAGAAAGGGCACGAACCCATGCCAGCAAGCTTTCGGTTTGAGCCATATCACGAACTCACGATATATATCGAAAGATAAAAACTTCAAACTATACCTGTCGATCGCAGAAAACTGGCAAAATGTACCTACATCTTGCCAGAATTTACGAGTTTGAGCCGAACCCCATCAGAAAAATCGTCATAAGCTGAGGTCCCCCTGTCAAAAGCGCGAATAGCTCATTTTTTGCGGCGAGCCACTTCCGAGCCATGAAGAAAAAGCGACAGTCTCCATTTAGATGCCGTTCACACTTTTTTTCGGCGAAAGAGACCTCTCCGGGTAGATGCCCTTACTGACCCGGCCGCCGGCCCCGATGAGCTTGAGGCCGGGCCAGACCCGCATGGTCTGCGGCATGTTGGTGGTCGTCGGGCCAGTGCCCGTGTACTCGATCGTGACAGCTTCCGGCGGGGCCAGGCGGCGGTTGTCCCGGGCGTTGATCCTGATGCGGTGGGCGTGGGAGATGACCAGGCTGACGTCCGGCTCGCCTTGCCGAGGAAATCTTTCTCGGGCCGCCTGGAGCGCCTCGGCCAGGGGCTGCTCTCGGGGCTCGTCGACCCGGAGGCAGGTCAGGAAGTCGAAGATGCCCGGATCGCTCCTCATGTTCTCGGTGAGCTCGTGGTGCCAGCCGTCGGTGAGGTCGTGGAGCAGCTGGCAGTGCTTGAGCTCGCGCTGCACCGGAGTGCCCGCGAAGTTGTCCATGATCGCGGAGAACTGGCGGAAGTCGCCGAGCAGCAGGAACTTGATTTTGCGGTTCATGGAGACACAGGCGATATCGTTCCACAGCCCGGTGTCGAGCTGCGTGATTTCCTCCGCCACCAGCCAGTCGATGTTGCAGTACCCGTTCCGAACGGTGCTCCGCACCCAGTGGTCGGCCGTCTCCGCCTGCATGCCGAAGTTCTGCACGGAGGAGTGGGTCTTCGTGATGATCTTCACCTTGTACCCTTCTTCCCGGAGGGCGGTCACGATCTGGCGCGCCAGATAGGTTTTCCCGGTGCCCGGGTAGCCGGTCAGCAGCAGGCTCCCACCCTCGAGGCAGTGGAGCGCCGGGTCCTCTGCGACCTTCCAGGTGTCAATGTTGCACATGCACTCCGCCTCGATTCGGGGGATTCGGTACTGGCCTTCGAGGCCCTTGACCTCCTCGCATCGGTACACGGGCGTGCCGTCGGGGTGTTTTGGCGGACCAGTCCGTCCACGAGGCCCTGGAACTTTTTGGGCAGGTCCTGGAAGACGACGCAGTCCGTTTTGACGGCCTTCAGGTACCTCGGCGGCACGGTTGCGAGTGCGTCCCGGATTCTGGAGACGGCGACGTACTCCGAGGCCATCACGAAGTCGTGCACGGGCCGGCAGCTCCGATTGGACAACAATTGGGTCACGTAGATGTGATCCCAGTGCATCCCACCCGCGGCGTCCAGGAACAGCTCCCGGTGCTGGCACCCGGAGCCGTCGAACTGGTGGTTGCTGGTGCGCATGGTGTAGATGAGGTTCATGTTGCGTGCCCAGAGTCCGATGAGGGCGTTCACCGACAGCTTCGCGTAGTGCTCTTCTCCCTCCGGCCAAGCCGCCTCCATTTGCTGCAGGGCCTGAGTCACGGACTCCTGGTCCACGTGCGCCGTGGCGTCCAGGCTGTACACGAAGTCGCGCCAGGTCGCAAGGCCCTTTTCCAGCGTGTAGGCCACCGCAGGCTTCGCGTACCAGCCCTGACCCACGTAGGGGAGCTGCTTGAAGGCCGCCCAACGCCCGTCCTCCCGGAGCTTCACGTAGGTCAGGTCCGCCAGGTGCCCTTCGCGGGCTTGCTCCACGTTGTCCTTGGGGCAGAAGATGGGCGCCGGGAACTTGGCATGGGCCAGGGCGTTCTTGCGGCACCGGACCACGTCGATTCCGTGGCAGATGTGGTCCGGCTTGTGGCTGTTGAGCTTGAAGACGAGCGGTGGGAGTCGGGGCGATTCCACGTACTGCTCGTAAGCCCGCCGGCTGAAGCGCGACTCCAGTGTCGTGGCGTGCGAGAACTCCAAGGCCGTTTTGTTCCGGTGGCATTCGAGGCACAGGGCCTGGAGATTCTGGGCCTGTGCGGCGAAGGACTGGTGCACGGGGACGATGTGGTCCAACTCGCATGTGGTTGCGGTGATGGGGGCCGCGCAGAGCTTGCACTGATGGTCCTGCTCCGAGAGCAGGGCTTGCCGAGATCCGGGCGGATCGCGGCGGGCCTTGAGAAGGTGAAGGAAGACCTCGCTCGCCGCGCCCGCGAGGCGCTGCCCGCGATAGGGGAGCCCCAGGCGGCCCATCCAGGCCTGCAGCACCTCCAGGTCCTCGTGGAAGGCGCAGATGACGCAGTCCTGGCCGCCCCGCACGCGGAGCCGCAGGCACCGCCACTCGCTCATGCTCCGCATGACCACCTTGGGGCAGTGCCCCTCGGCCAGGAGCTCCCTCCGGACCTGCTCCAGGTCCTCGGCGTAGAAGTGGCCGCTGGCGACCCCGCCCTCCCACTCTCGCCAATGCTTGAACTCCGGCGTTTCGCCCGGCCTCCTCTCGCCCCTGTACCTGGCCCGGTCCCCGATCGGCTCGCACTTCGCGACCGTGCGGGCGGATTTGTAGAAGAAGGCGTGGCCGTTCCAGCTCGTGAAAGCCACGGCCCGCTGCTCCTTGACCACAGGCTCGTACTTGTCCAGCAGGCGGCCCTGGCAGTCCACGTAGAACATCGGGGCCTGGCGCCAAAGGCAGAATTCCCGGATCTCTCGGGGGGTGATGCCTTGCTCCCGCCACGTTTTTTGGGTGCAGATTGCGTCGAAGTCCGAAAGCACCTCTTGCAGCGGCAGCCGCATCAGCTCCGCGAGCTGCCGAGGGACGCAGAGCTTGTCCGGCCGCTGTTCGAAGGCGGACTCGAGGATTTCGTCGCCGCAGTACAGCTGGTAGGAGACGTCCCGCAGAGCCCCCAGGGGCTGATCCAGGACGGTGTCCAGCACCACCTGGTTGTCCACGACCTGCATGGCCTGCTGGCTGAAGGTCCACTCCCTCGTTGCGTCCAGGTAGTAGCTCTCGTCGGACAGCTCCCAAATAATGTCGTTCGGCTCGGGGTTCCCCAGCTGCGCGAGCACGGACGCTCGCAGGTTGCGGGCTGCCTGGGCGTGAAACGTAGTGTTTTCCTCGAGACCTAGCCAGGGGGCCCGTGGAAATGTGAAACGTAGTGTTTTCCTCGAGACCTGGACCTAGCCAGGGGGCCCGTGGAAATGTGAAACGTAGTGTTTTCCTCGAGACCTAGCCAGGGGGCCCGTGGAAATGTGAAACGTAGTGTTTTCCTCGAGACCTAGCCAGGGGGCCCGTGGAAATGTGAAACGTAGTGTTTTCCTCGAGACATTGGGATTTGACGCCAAACAGCACAGAATCACTTGTCCACGGGATAACAAGAAGCATAGACGTAGAAGAAAGTTTTTGAAAAGGGAAGCACGTCGTGAGAAGCGTGAGAAGGATCTTGATCTGGATGATGATCACTCTCTGTGTAGTGTGTTGCAGAGGTTTGTAGATGAGGAGTGTGAGTGGTGTGACAGAGTCGCAGCGACTCCAATCTTTGTAATCAAAAAAGCAGCTGCTGAGTACTGCTCAATCAAGAATGTGCGTGACCTCGGTCCATTGTTGACTGCTATCGGGATCAAGTCCGAATCACGATCAGCGGCTGCAGGAGGACGTATACTAACAAAGTCTACGGTTGCCAGCTGCAAAGCGGGCAACTGCAGCTGCTTGAGTTTGTTGCCAAAGCCGTGAACTCCAAGGGGGCAGCGTCGGAGTTTCGAGGAAAAGGATGCCAAGCGTTCGCATGTGAGACTTGCTTGGCATTGCTACCATCCTAAACCCTTAAACCTATAAATCATAAGATGAACGCATATAGTATTTCAAAAAATACGGGTTGCTATAAAACTATAGGCAAATCCCATACAAAATGCAATAAAATCTCAGAAAATATTAATATGATAGACCACGAAAAAAATAATCCAATGATCCCCAACTTAACCCGATGCATTTCTAAATACATGAAGAAAGTTTTTTTTGTAGTTGCGTCCCTAAAACCCTAATGTGTGGCCCAAGTGTTGGCTCAAACTACAAAAAAACCCTTAAAACCTTAAATAAAGGATTTAGTGTTCGGGGTTTTGTGGTTGCGTCCCTAAAGTCCTAAACTCTGGCTCAAAATGGGCGCTTCCAGGCCTTTATGGTCACTAAAATGGGCGCTTCCAGGCCGTCCGAGAGCCCTTCGCTCAGCCGGGACAGTGCGACGTTGAGGTCGGTGACCGGCAGGCGCTTGGTGCGCTCGTAGGGCATGCCGCGGTTCCGGCCGTTTCGCCGGATGCCGCGAATGATGACGGGCACGTGCACCACCCAGTCGACCCACTTGTCCTTGAAGAAGCTCTTCCCGAGCTTGGTCAAGTGGTAGTTCCCGTTGGGTTGGAGGCTGCGGAGCAGCTTTTTAGCGCCCCCCCGGAGCATGATGTAGTCGTTGGGCCCCTCGCGGATGAGGGGTTGGTTGCGGTCGTACTGCCGGCTGGGGGGCGGCCGGCCGATCAGTTGGTAGTAGTACTGGCCGGCCCGGGTGAGCTCGCCGTTGGGGCGGCTGAGCATCGCGTAGCGGAGGTGGTGATGTGTCAAAGGAAGGGTTTCTGAGCCTGCCGCCGAGGTCCTCGCCCTGACCCCGGCCTCGGCTGCTAGTTTGATGGCTTGTCGTTGCTGAGCCCAGCTCATGACTTTTGAACAACCCGCCCGGAAAAAAGGTCGTCGCCCGAGCGGGCCCCCTTTGTCGATCAAGCTTTCCGGGTCGTTTTTAGCGCCGCGAAGCAGTTGTTGATTTTGACCAGCTTTTGCCGGTAGATTAGGGTCCAGTGCACGCATGTGGCGAGCACTCTCCATACTTTTCTCCTCCAATGTTCGCGCAGCGGCCTCAAATACTCGAGCACCAGTTGCCTGGCCGTCCGCCCCAAAAATTGGAGCGACAGGTCCTCCAAGGCCGGCCAGCGGTAGCGCTTCTTTTCCGCGATGGCCCGGCTGCATGCGAAGACGTCGCGCGACTCGAACCAAGCCTGCATCGGATCCGAGATCAGGATAACTTCTGCGAAAGCGACCCGTTCAGGCGGGGGCTTGGGCTGGGGCTTATAGGGCCTAGGGGGCAGCTGCAAGAAGGCCACAATCATTTGACTCGCGGCCATTTCGGTCACTCCCAGTCGGTCCGCCCACTCCCGCGCCACCCTGTACAAACATGGGTTCTCGACCACGCCTTCGTCGTGCTTGATCGAGATGACCTCTTCCATCAAATTCGTTGGCTTGGGCTTGGGCTGCGGCTTGGGCCGGGAGTTCACGAGGAACCGGTCCATCTTTTGAACAACCCTCCCGGAAAAAAGGTCGCCGCCCGAGCGTGCCCCCCTTCGCCGGTCGAGTCTTGTTGTACAGCGGCTTGTACAATTTTGGCTCAAACCCTTGTGTACAGGCTCGGCTCAAGCCCTCCCCGTTGTACAGCGGCTTGTACAGTTTTTGGCTCAAGTCTTCGTGCACAGCTTCGGCTCAAGCCCTCCCTAAACCCCATACTCCCAAACCCACCCTAAACGCCACTTTTTTTCATGTTGCACGATTCTTTTCATCATGTTTCACTGCTCTGGAGCGAGCAGGTTAGTCACTGCTCTAAGGCGAGCAGGCCCTATCCTTAAAGACGTCGATTTTGGCATGTTTTGCTTGATTTTCGCATGTTGTTTTGCAGAGTTTTTTTGTGATTTTTGTTAGACCCGGGCTCGCTTCCTCGAAGCATGATCAGAGCAGGCAGCAGCATGACACTTCTAAGAAAGAAAGGAGACAACCGCTACCGCAACGCAGTGCAGCTACCGCAGACACAACTACGAAAGACCAGAAAGCACACACAGCCCTGCACAGGGAGGTAGTGACGCCGGGGCCACGGATGCTTCAGGGTTTGGGGTTGAAGGTTGGCAGGCAAGGGGCTCTGAGGCAGCGAGGTCCTGAAGAGGCAGCCAGGTGTAGTCGGTAGGAGTGAGGAGTGCCTTGCGCTGCCCCCTTCCTGTAACTCTGGAGTGCCCGGCGCCCACCCCCCTCCCGGGAATCCCGGGCCCCTTCGTGTGGTCAGGTTCGCATCGTGTTCGTCTTTCGTTCGGCATCTTCGAGCAGAGGCAGGGTTTCGGGTTTAGTGAGTTGTTCAGGAGGGCAGGTGAAACCCAGGAAGGGGGCGGCCGCGGGAGAGCAGGTGAAACCCGAAATCGGGCCGCGGGAGGCTGCGGGAGGGCAGGTGAAGCCCACAAAGGGGGCACAGGAGGGCAGGTACAGGAGGGTGAAACGCAGGAAGGGGGGCGCGGGAGGGTAGGTGAAACCCGGGAGGGGGGGGGGGCGGGAGGGCAGGTGAAACCCGAGAAGGGGGGAGGGCAGGTGAAACGCAGGAAGGGGGGTGTGGGAGGGCAGGTGAAACCGGGAGGGGGGGCGCGGGAGGGCAGGTGAAACCCGAGAAGGGGGTGGAGGAGGGCAGGTGAAACCTGGCAGGCGGCGCAGGAGGGCAGGTCAAACCCGGCACGCGGCGCAGGAGGGCAGTTTCACGGAAGGGGGCGCAGGAGGGCAGGTGAAACCCGGCAGGCGGCGCAGGAGGGCAGGTGAAACCCGGCATGCAGGAGGGCAGGTGAAACCCGGCAGGGGCGCAGGAGGGCAGGTGAAACCCGGCAGGAGGCGCAGGAGGGCAGGTGAAACCCGGCAGGCGGCGCAGGAGGGCAGGTGAAACCCGGCAGGCGGCGCAGGAGGGCAGGTGAAACCCGGCAGGGGGCGCACGAGGGCAGGTGAAACCCGGGAAGGGGGAGGGCAGGTGAAACCCAGAAGTGTGAGGGCAACAAGGGGGCGGTTTTCAGCTCCTGGCGGGGCGGTTGGGGTTTCACCTGCGCTAGTGACGGGTTGGGGTTTCACCTGCGCTCCTGACGGGCGGTTGGGGTTTCACCTGGGCTCCTGGCGGGCGGTTGGGGTTTCACCTCAGCTCCTGGCGGGGCGGTTTGGGGTTTCACCTGGGCTGTTGATGGGGCGGTTTGGGGTTTGACCTGGGATCCTGACGGGGCGGTGGGTTTTCACCTGGGCTCCTTGAAGGCGGTTGGGGTTTCACCTGGGCTGCTGGTGGGGCGGTCGGGGTTTCACCTGGGCTCCTGGCGGGGCGGTTTGGGGTTTCACCTTCTGTTTTGTCGGGCAGTGTGGGGTTTCCCTGAGTTTGCCGTGACCCTTGAACCCCCGTCCCGTGACCCCGAAATCCTCAACCCAGAAGCTGAAGCTCTAAACCCCAAGCCCAAAAGAACCAGCAGTCAAGCTGAAACAGGTAGAGCTCGGCATTCGTTCATGCAGATTGCAGTGCTTTTGCTCGAGCAAGAGGACAGCTAGGACCATTGCCGCCATGAGCAGGCCTCCAGCAACATCACGCAAGGTCAGGCTACTGGCGCTGTTCTTGGTGAGTCTGCCAGAGCCTAAGACCAGGGCTTTGAACACTGTTAGATGTGTTCCCGCGCAGCTTCAGGCGAGCAACGCAGACGGCGCGGGCTTTGCTTGGAGCGGGGGCCGTGCCGTTTCCAAGGTGGGATGTGATGTATGGCATGGAGTGCCGAAGATGCGCAAGCCAGAGCGAGGTCGGTTCCTCCGGGAATATGGGCACACAACTTGCTCGCACGCAGGGCCAAGGCGGGAAGCCGAGGCCGAGAGGAAATTCAGTGTTAAGCCTATGTCCTGCAGAGCTGAGGCTGATGGCACTTTGGATGGTGGTGAGGCCGAAGACAAGGAAGACATCAAGGCGACAAGGGTTTGTCGTTTCGGCGTGGCGTGCCTTGTGCTGTTCTGATGGCGTTTCCTTCGCTCCTGGAGTGTCCTGGCAGCAGCGCGTAGGTCTTTTCGGGAACGGTCCATGTTGGGAGGCCGCCAAAGAAAAGGATGACGTGGAAGAGGCGACGACCCAGGCACTTTCAGGCTGTTCTTGCTGGTGAGGGCTTCGCATGTCTGCGTGGCTCCTGCAGGCCAAAGCAGGCTTCGATCAGGCGGGCTCCGCGAAGGCTCGCTGACACTAGCATGTTTGAGGATGTGCCCCTTGCTGCAGGGTTCGCGAATCAAGGCAGTGGATGAGGCGCTTTGCGGTGTCTCTTGCTTAAGTGGTTTTGTCCTGGTGGGGCCAGGGAGCTTCAGACGAATTTCGATGAGCTTGAGGGGTTGCTTATGCAGGCTGCCTCAGCACAGACTGCTGACCCGGTCGAGGATGCCAAGCAGGCTGTGCCTCCGAGGGTGTTCTTGCTTGCTTGCCTTGCTTGTTGTGGGCCATTGCGGGCTGAGTCTGAGCGGGCTCTTGGCACCCCTGCGCCTGGCAGGATCTGGATGCAGCAAAACGGCAGCGAAATGTGGCCCTCAGAGGGCTGGAAAGGGCAGAAGCCCTGGCCGAATACCTGCAGAAGCAGCTGCTGGAATTGGAAGACAGCAGCAGCGAGAAGGCCAAGCAGGCCAAGAAGGAGCTCAAGGAGGCCGAAACGAAGCTCAAGGAGGCCGAAACGAAACTAGAGAAGGCCAAGAAGGAGCTCTCGGAGGCCGAGCAGAAGTACGAGGCCAAAGCAAGCGTCCAGGCAGGACGAGTGCAGGCCAGGGCTTCTGCGTTTGCAGCTGTTGCTGTTGCCTTTGGTTTGCGGCACTCCCGCATGTGTTTTCGTGCGGTCCACCGTTTTTGCTTTTTGGGGTCATGCTCTCCTCTCAGCAAGGATTCCGCTCGTCGTTAGGCTTCACTATGTTGGCTTGCAGCCCTTCGGGGAGCGGGAGGGGCTCTTGGCTGCTGCAGGTTCAGGCAAATCTGGTTGTGTTTTGCCGATGCTTCAGAACGGGGTGTCAGTCCTAGGCTCGAGATGGGGAGGTCAGCCTGTTTTGCGCTCGCTTTGCGCTCGCTCTCCAGGTTGCGGTTGTTTCTGTTTGAGGTTGAGTTTCCGGTTACTGTGTCCGTGAGGGGGGGGGGTCAAGGGAGTCAACCCTGGGTGCCTTTAGCACACGGACTTTGAAGAGCAGTGGGGTTCCGGCAAAACGAGTGCAGGCCGCGGGCTTCTGCCTGGGCATGTTGCCTTTGGTTTGTAGCATTCCTGCCTGCCCGGGGCTCTTGGTCGTCGTGCATTTTTCGTGCGGTCCACCGTTGTTGCTTTTTGGGGTGCTGCTTTCCTCTCAGGATCCCCTCGTCGTTCAGGTGTCTGCACTGTGTTGGCTTGCAGCGGTTCGGGGAGCGGGAGGGTCTTTCGGAGCAGAGGGCTCTTGGCTGCTTCAGGTTCACGCAAATCTGGTTGCACCTCGTGTTTTACCGGGTGTTGGTGCTGGCAGTGCGACTCGAGGTGAGGGTCGTTTTTTTGCGCATGAGGCTCAGGTTACTATATCTGTGTTTGTGTGCTTGGCCACCCTTTTCTGTTGTGATTTGTTGGGGTCGGGCATGGCGAGCCCGACGGTCGGGGGCCAAGCAGGCTGTAATTCCAATTCCATCAACGCTCTGGGGACCCCCTCAAGCAACAAGGTGGGTGTTCTTTCAAGCAGTGCGATTTTTCTTGAGCATGCGCACACTGTCGCTTGTTCCAGGCGATCAAAGCGGTGAGCGGGAAAGACTTGCAAAATTTGAGGAGCATCAGCGGGCCGAACGTGACGATTGAGGATTGGATGGTTGGACTAGGGAGGTGCGGCGAGGAATGTCTGAAAGACATTCAAACCAATGCACCGAAGTCAGACTGCCATGTCGATCGCGTGCCGCCGCTCATGCTGTCACGGTGCATGCGTGGCGGCAAGACCACTTTCTTGGCGTATCTGTTCAAATTGGTGAAAGCAGAGTCCGGATACCTTCCAATTTTCATAAGTTTCAACGGAATATCTGGGATCCAGCGAAAGAAAGGCGAAAGCCGGTTGCAGACAATTCTGCGAGCCATCGCAGTCACTTTGCTGTCAGCTACTCCCACTGACACTCAGAGCGTTTCTTGTGACGAGGACACATTAAGTGATCATCTCGACAGACAAAACGGCATCATTGTACTGATGATTGACGAGCTCAACCTCCTGGTGCCAAAAGGAACAAGAGACGACGAAGTGGCATCGTTTCTCCGAAAGGTCTTCCTAATTCGAGAAAACAGATACCTCGTGTTTACCACCCACGAGCCGTTTGATGGATCTCAAATTACAGAATACATAGGAGGCTACTCACCAAGGGGTGTGATAGCAAGAGACCTGCCTCGGTCCGTAAATCTGACAGAACAGCGTGGCATTCCTGAATGCAGGGCGCTCTCTGCAGGTAACTTGATTTTTTTTTCAGGTATTCCTTCCTTGCTCCGCAGTTGGAAGCAGCAGTACAACTTCCAAGCCAGGTTCCAACAGCTCACGAAGCCGGACACGACTCCAGACCTCTTGTTGCAAAGCTTCGTGCGAGAGTTTCTGAAGGGAGAAAGACTGCAGGGTGATGCTATACGTGCCTTTGATTGCCTCACCGCGACGTCGGACCAGGGCGAAGTGCGATGGATTTTGTGCTATGCGGCACAGATGTGCTCGTATCTGAATCAGCGTCAGCTTGCAGATTGGATCAACAGGCTTCAGATTGATGCATCCGACCCTCTATCTGGCAAAGGCTGGGAAGTGCTAGTTGTATTGGCCGCGGCATTCCGCTGCTTAGACGCAATGGCCTGTGGTGATGCGGGACATCCTCTGCTTGGCCTTCCCCCTAATCCAAGCATCAAAGCATGCTATTTCTTGGATGTGCCCTCCGAAGTCTCAACGCTTGACGCAGCGCTGGAGTGGTGGGCAGGGCAAGACATTCCTCCGACCTTCCCCTTAGTTGCAGTCCTGAATCCACTATGCTCAACATTTGAGGTCTTCGATTGCATCCTCCTTTATCAGAGAGAGGAACTTGGTGTGCGGCATGTCCGAGGTTTCCAACAAAAAGCCGGGAACACCTACCCCGGCGAAGCTGACCGCCAAGACAAGGTAGACTGTGTGTGGATGCAAGGCAAGGCCGCAGAGCATAGGCGCAGCGAACAAGCCAAAGGTTGGACCTTGCCCAGTTCGGGCGAAATTCGTGCATTCCTGGGCGCAGCTTTGCGGGATCTCTTTCCGAAAGAACTTGACACATGAGAGAGCTGGAGCTGCGTGGTCAAAAAGCTTGTGTAACACCATTGAGTCTCGAGAAACACTTGCCCGGTCGAAGCGGGGGATTCAGCAAAGTTTGAGAAGGAATGGGTTCAGGGCTCACGGCCGTTTTCTCAACGCTTCCCGAACCAAGAACCCCTTTTCTATGCAGCATGTACAGTCCTAAGCACTTGTGATATTGACAGTGCATGTTCATGTGAAGTGGCCCCTCAAAGCCCAAGCTTGCAAACTTTCACCTTTCAACACTTCACGCAAAGACCAGCAAGTTTAGCGCCCCAGTGCGGGTGCTTGGCTCGCGCTGGGATCACAGAAGATGCGTCGAGGAACGCTCGGTGCATTGGCAGCTTGCACGCCCGCTGGCATACAGTCCGCTTGCCCTTACCCCAGACCGCGGTTCCGGCTGAGCATCAAACCCTTGACGGAGTCTGTTTGTAGCAAACTTGGGCTGAAGGGCACGGCGAAGCTAGATGTTCTTGACCGTCACCTGTACATGCGCACGGTCACTCCACGCGCTGCGCCGAAAGAGCTGAGAACTTGTGCGCCTTGTGCCGTACCCCTCAACCCCTAACCTCCCTAACCTCTTCATCTGGCAGCCTGGCAGGTTCACAGAACTTCGTCTTCGAGGGCTCCGTGAAGGCTCGGAGGTGGGAAGCTACGCTCTTGCGCGCGCGACGCACGTGTGACCTCTTATTAGGCAGCTGATGACCGCCATGGTGCTGAGCGCGAGGGGGATAGGGCGCGGGCTAAAGCGCGTGCAACTCTTTCGACAGTCTTGTTGACTTGCTTGGGATCGGCCTAGACTCTCAAAGGTTTAGACCTTCCCAGAAACCCCAGTGGATACTCTTGATGCTCGTTTTGATGCTCTTGGTTCTCTGGATGCTCTGGATGCTCGCCGATGCTCTGGACTTTGGGTGCTAGCCGAGGCTCTGGATGTTCGCAGATACTCTGGATGCTCGCCGATGTTCGCGGATGCTCTGGATGTTCGGCGCTGCTCCGGATGTTTGGCGATGTTCTGGATGTTCGGCGATGCTCTGGATGTTCGGCGATGCTCTGGATGCTCGCCGATGCTCTGGACCCGCCAGGCAGCACGATGATCCAGAAGATTTTGCGCGAATGTAGAGTGTCTGCGTCCACAGACTCGGTTTCTGCCGCAGTCTTCGCGCAGTCTTCACCGAGTCCAGGCGGAGAAGCAAGAACAAAACTGAAACCGACCGAGCCCGCGGCACAGCGCCATTCCGGAAACTCCAACCCCGCCAGGCCGCACTATGGCCCAAAAGATTTTGCATGGATTTTGCGTGCACTTTCGGGCCTTCTAAAAGCCAGCCCTGGGCCTCCTGGGCCGCGTTTTGGAGCGAGTTCCGGCCGGAACCGGGGGGAAGTACTTACCCCATGAACGAAACAGCCAGAGACTACACCGTAACGGAGTGCAGTTTTGGAACATGGGATATAGAGAGAGAGGCTGCAACGAACTGCGTGGGAGTAAAGCAAAACAAAGCCTTCTGTCCGAGTGTTGTGCTCTGCTGAGAGTTTCGCTTGGACTCGTTGTGGTTTCGTTCTTTCTCGCAAAGAGCTGATTCGATCACGCTACCCTCCATTAGCTGGCCTGCCTGAAGTCTGGAGAAGGCCTGGATCTCTTCAGACGTGTCCTAAATCTGCCCAACTGCCGGGTCTTCTTGTCTCTATACCCACACCAAACGATGCCAAGGCCATTGTGCCAGTTGCACCCCTTCCGCGGTGGTTACCCAAGCGCACCACAGCCCTCTTTGGGCCCAAGGGCACCACAGCCCTCTCTGGGCTTCCTTACCCAAGAGCACCACAGCCCTCTCTGGGCCCAAGGGCACCACAGCCCTCTCTGGGCTTCCTTACCCGAGCACCACAGCCCTCTCTGGGCCCAAGAGCTGCACATGGTCCTGCTGTTTTTTGCAGACGTGGTTGCCGAAAACTCGTGTGACAAGGAGGCTTTGGAGGTCTCTGGCCTTATCACAGAGGTCGTCTCCGCGAGGAAAGGGTGAAGTTCCATTCGTCGTCTTCATAGCACCCCGTTGCGCAGGAATGGGAAGTGCATTCACCTGGAGGCAGCCAACCTTCCAGGACAGGCTTTGAGTTGATCGTGCGACTGTTGGCGGACTCCGATGGATTGCGCTCCGAAGCTGGAGACGGAGGATATCTTCTCATTCACGTGATCCTAGACAGCCCACCGGAGAGGTGGCAACGAAACACAGTTCACCACGAGCGATCGACTTCGAAGGTGGACGTACGAGGCGTTGCGCACTCGGAATTGCCATTAGTGAATAGAGCCAGCTACGGCGTCTGGTGAAACCAAACAGGAACTGTTTGGTAGGAGTCTTCCGCTGTTTGGAGGAGTCGGCTCAGGGGGAGCTCAGAATAGATGGAAATGTATCGGTGTCGAGCTACGCAGACACAGAGCTCCTTATTCACGGATGCCCAGCAGAGCCTGTGATGTGATCATTAAGGGCCGTATGCGGCCTTGCGGAGTGTGCAGGGCCTCCTCTGCATTGAATCCAGCAAGACTGCGGAGACCGACATTGTGGTGGCGGTGACTTCTCTTGAGTTAGATTGCATCCTCTGCGACATGTCTAAATTGGCCGCCAGAGTGCGGCTTGAGTGCCAGATTAACCTGCCAGACGGAAGGGTTGGAGACCATCAACGGAGCGCATTCTGGTCAATGCAACGCTCCTGCACCTCATGGTGACCTCCGCACGCTGCCCACAAGCTGGCCCTGCCAGAGCGGAAGCCGTCCACGATCGACTTGGACAATGGCAGCCGGGACTCCGAGACACCGACGCCTGCACAGGGGCACCGCACTTGGCAAGAACAACTGTGACATCTTTTATCCGTTGTTCTAGTGCACACGTACATCACGCGACATCGCCCACCGGACGACTGCCCGTTTCTGGACAACCGTCGTAGCCGTGGCCACTCGGCGCTTCCTGACATGGACAGCCAAGCAGTGCTTGGCGGCACGCTTTCTGGAGCATTCTTCCCCACTTCATGCTACAACAAACCAGAGAAACCCAACAGAGAACCTGCCATCCACCACATCGAAAGAGCCGGCCATGGTCTGAATCTCTGTGTCTGTCTGGCACGGGTTGCGAAGGCAGGAACAGAAAGGCCAGTTGAGAACTAGGAGAGGTGGGGTGCCCTGCTAGGATTTTTGCGGGTCCTCAGTCATGTGATTCTCTGTGTTTCGAGTTGACACACTCGAAGCCACAAGTCGAGTCGTTGCTCTCCAACCCTGAACTTCGTGGGCTCACGTGTGCCTACCGTGCTGCCTGGAGTCTGTGTGGAGGTTTGTGTGCTAGAGACACGTTCAGCACCCAGTCATCTTTCAACGGTTTCCCTCCGGTGAAAACTCATCATGGTACAGGCTTTGATACTTTTGTGTCTGCTAAGGAGGAGACCTTCCGTAGGGTGCGAATACTGTACAGCTTCACACACATGTCCTCATGGGTGTTCGATCTCTGAAATATGTTTAATACTTTGTTTTTTCTAGTGCGGGCCGATGGCAACTGTGAAATGGCAAGCCCAACATTACAGCTTCAAGCTCAGCCTTTGACTTGCATTCTCACTCATACTCATACTTTGTTTCTTGCACTTCACTCATCACTCTTTTGCTCTTATTCTTTCCTCTTGGCTCTTTCCCCTGTAATCTTTACTTTTGACTCTTTACTCTTTACTCTTGCTTCTTGACTCTTGACTCTTGCCTCTTGATTCCTGACTCTTGACTCTTCATCTTCCTTTTCCTCTTGTGCTTGCTGTACTCGTACTCTTACTCTTAATCTTACTCTTCCTCTTCCTTTTTATTTTCCTCTTCCTTTCCATCTTCGTCTTCCTCTTCCACGCACTTTTACTCTTACTTTTACTATTATTCCCCACATCAATGTGTGGGGTTCTTACTTTTTGGGGCTGTCCCGCCTCCTCCTCCTCCTTCTCCTCCTCCTCCTTCTCCTCCTCCTCCTCCTTCACCTCCTTCCTCCTCAGCTTCCTCCTCACTCCTCCTCCTCACTTCATGACGCAGACACACACACACAAACACACATACACACTTCCTGGCCTCACACACGACTAAAGACCCTCCCGGGCTGCTCTGGCCAAGGCCGCGCGCGCCTTGGGGCGAGACTCTTCCGCGACTAAAGACCCTCCCGGGCCTGCTCTGGCCAAGGCCGCGCGCGCCTTGGGGCGAGACTCTTCCGCGACTAAAGACTCGCCCCTGGATCCCGGGCCTCTCTGGCCAAGGCCGCGCGCGCCTTGGGGCGAGACTCTTCCGCGACTAAAGATCCTCCCGGCCTGCTCTGGCCAAGGCCGCGCGCGCCTTGGGGCGAGACTCTTCCGCGACTAAAGATCCTCCCCGGCCTGCTCTGGCCAAGGCCGCGCGCGCCTTGGGGCGAGACTCTTCCGCGACTAAAGCCTGCTCTGGCCAAGGCCGCGCGCGCCTTGGGGCGAGACTCTTCCGCGACTAAAGACCCTCCCGGGCCTGCTCTGGCCAAGGCCGCGCGCGCCTTGGGGCGAGACTCTTCCGCGACTAAAGACCCTCCCGGGCCTGCTCTCGCGCCTTGGGGCGAGACTCTTCCGCGACTAAAGACCCTCCCGGGCCTGCTCTGGCCAAGGCCGCGCGCGCATTGGGGCGAGACTCTTCCGCGACTAAAGACCTTCCCGGGCCTGCTCTGGCCAAGGCCGCGCGAGGCTCTTCCGCGACTAAAGACCCTCCCGGCCTGCTCTGGCCAAGGCCGCGCGCGCCTTGGGGCGAGACTCTTCCGCGACTAAAGACCCTCCCAACCCTGCTCTGGCCAAGGCCGCGCGCGCCTTGGGGCGAGACTCTTCCGCGACTAAAGAATCTCCCGGGCCTGCTCTGGCCAAGGCCGCACGCGCCTTGGGGCGAGACTCTTCCGCGACTAACCTCTAAGACCAGGTTAGGCTATTTTGGGGCATATATCCTATTTGGCAAAATAGTTTATTTTACCTTG